ATAATTGTATGATGAATTTTAATTTCACTAGCTTACCCTTCTGTTGTTTTCCATGTTTTTGGACTGCGATGATCATACTATGTATGGGAGCAGGGCAGGAATAGAGGTGCGTCTTGTGGTGAGGTTGGTGGACCTTGCAGCTGTTTTGCTTGGCGATGTGTTGTTTTGCTTGTGGCTACGTGGGATAGTAGCATTTGGTTGTATTTTTCTTTAGTACACTTTAACTCTAGTCAGATTGGAATCTTGTATATCTATATATATTCTAGATCCTATATTCATATACTTGTTTTATCTGTCTGGTGTTTCGAGTGTGCTATGCCGGGCGTAGTGACCAGTCGGGTCGTTACAAAATGTATGTTTCTGATAATTTTTCCTTCAAGATTTGTAGGTAAAACTTGAAAATTTAAGAGTTAGGTACGGGAAGTTATGATGCAGAAAATGCAAGAAGAGAACTTGCATATGCAATCATTATCCATGAATATCCACTTGCAATTGTGGATCATCTTGGTTTTAAGAGATATTCGACTGCTCTTCAACCACTGTTTCAAGTTCCTAGTAAAAACACAATGAAGAAAGGGATATTTAAAATCTATGCATTTGAGAGATCAATTGCTTTAAAGTTGTTGGATAGCCTTCAAGGAAGAGTGGCTATTAGATCAGACATGTGGACTTCAAGTAATCAAAAAAGAGGGTATGGTAGTCACAGCTCATTATATTGATGGGAATTGGAACTTGCAAAGTCGTATTTTGAGGTAACAGTTTTCTTTAACTTATTTGCACTACATATTATTTTTCATCAGTTTTCTTTAACTTATTTGCACTACATATTATTTTTCATGTAATTATTTGTATGATAAATTGATTTAATTAAAATTTTATTGTGCTAGGTTCATTTATGTTCCGGCTCCTGACTCAAGTGATAAACTTTGTAATGTATTAGTTGACTGTTTGATGGATTGGAACATTGACACAAAGTTATCCACTATCACACTAGATAATTGTAGCACAAATGATGCTATGATTGAAAAAATTAAGGATAAGTTACAGTTAAGCACTTTATTGAGGGATGGTTCTTTGTTTCATATGCGTTGTTGTGCACATATCTTGAATTTGATAGTGAAAGATGGGTTGGAAGTGGTGAAAGATGGGGTAGAAAAGATTCGGGATAGTGTAGCATATTGGACAGCAACTCCTAAGAGAAAAGAAAAATTTGAAGAAACAACAAAACAATTGAGAATCCCTTACAATAAGAGTTTGGGTTTAGATTGTCCAACTAGATGGAATTCGACGTACAAAATGCTTGAAATTGTCATATCATATGAAGATATCTTTAGTCGGTTAAAGCAACGGGAGGCTCAACATACATGTTTGCCTACTACTTTACGGTGGCAATTTGCAAAAGATGTGTGTGGAAAATTGAAATTGTTCAATGCTATCACTGAATTATTTTCTACTACTAAGCATCCAACTGCTAATATGTATTTTCCAAAAATTTGTGAGAGTTGCAACTTTTTGGATCCTAGATATAAAATGGAGTTGCTTGAATACTATTATGAAAAGTTGTATGATCATGAATCTTTTTCTCAAGTTAGGATGATTCGACAACTATGCTATGATTTGGTTTATGATTATCAACTGAAAATGAGTAAAGATTTAGGTGGTAGCTCTCCAACTATTGATGGTAGTAATGTTGGTAATGATGCCTTATATGAGTATGATATATACATTATGAGGAAAAAAAGAGCTAGAAGTTCTTTTGTTAAAACAGAGTTGGACCATTATTTAGAGGAGTATGTTTTACCAAGAATTGCTGATTTTGATATTTTGATGTGGTGGAAGTTGAATGGTATCAAGTATCCAACACTCCAAGCAATTGCAAGGGACATTCTAGCTATTCCTATATCTACGGTAGCTTCAAAATCAGCATTTAGCACTAGTGGTCAAATTTTAAGTCCTCATCGTAGTCGACTTCATTGGAGCACTTTGGAGGCCTTAATGTGTACTAGAAGTTGGTTATGGAGTGTTGAAACTTCTGGTAATGTTTAAGATAATACATTTAAAAATTTATTAAATGTTTGTATATTTTATTTTATTAACTAATTTTTTTTACTATATTTGATATTTATAGGTTATGAGAATTCTATAAAGTAATCCATGAATTTCCTATTTTACTTGATGAAATAGGATCGGATGATGAAGGTAATGTTTTATATTATTTATTTTAATGAGTTATTTACTTTACTCAACACTTTTATAATTATTTTTTTAATGTATATTAAATATTTATTTTGTTTGATGTAGATGAAATGATGGAGGATAGTGACATTACTTTCCATTTGGAAGATGATCAATAAATGAAAGATGTATGATGGAATGATGAATTGGAATTGTTGCTACTTTTTATTTGTATTTAATAAGTTCAAATACTGTATTTTGTCTAGTTGCCTTGGTCCTTTTTTATTTATGAAAAAATGGTATTTTGTAATTTTGTTAGATTGAGACAACTTTATGATATTACTACAAACTTCGTTAAATTGAAAAATATTATATTTCGTTATAATTAGAATTTATAAACATCTACGTACAAAATGCATAACAATACTAGCAAAAGTGTTGTGCCATTTATATCAAATTATCAATAATTTTGATGTCATAATTTCATATAATTAGATATAATAACAAAATATATTAAATATTATTAAAACTGTTTGAGAGATATTTTGACCAAAAAGAATGTAAAAATTTGTATTATTTTGCTTTTTCTTTTATTTTTAATTTTTTATTATTATTTATTAAAAATAGAAAAAAAAATCCAGGAGCAGGGGCAGGGGCGGGGGCGGGGCGGGAAAACCTGAACCCGGTCGGGGGTGGGGATGAGTACCTAGATTTACACTCAGCGGGTATCGGGGGCGAGAGCGAGGAACATAAAACCCGCCCCTGCCCCGCCCCGTTGTCATGCCTAAGTAATGATTAAGGGTGTAAGCAGGTTGGGTTGGGTTGGGTCGGGTTTGGATTGATCTATTATCCAACCCAATTAAAATTTAACAGTTGGCTTAGATCGGATTCATATAAAAAAAATTAAAATCCAATCCAACCCAACCTAATTACAAACGGATTGGGTTAATCTAAGCAATATAATTAAATTTATTTATTTATTTGTTAAAATTTTAATATTTTAAACTATATGTAAATCATTTGATACATTACTGCAAATACAATGTTATCAACCTATAAAACAAGTAATGATATAAATTATTTTCTAAAATAAATTTATTAATTTATTACATTATTATCAACTCAAAAAATCAACATTAATTAATAAAAATTAAAATTAAGGTAAATATATTATATTGTTATAATGCTATCAACATAAAACATAAAAATCATTATTAAGTAAGAGTGAAAGTGAATATTATCCTAAGCATATGATCTTTCAAACATTATTATTATTATTATTATTATTATTATTATATATAATCGAGCCGGGTCAGGTAACGAGTTTTAGGGAGAGTGAGTATTTTGTATTTTGGTTTTATTAGTTGGGTTTTTATATTTTGTTGAAGAGTTGTAGTTCTGATTTGTAAGTAATTTTTTTTATTTGCTATATATTTTGTTATTACATTAAATTTATTTTTTTGTAATTTGTAGTTTTAAAATTTTCAAGTATATTGTGCTATAACATTATTGGCGGTACAAAGCATTTGTTGTTTTTGAAAGAAAAAAGGTTAGTTTTGTAATTTAATTATTAATTTTGTTTATTTATAGGTTACTTATATACTTTATATAATTTTTTATCTGTTGTTAATACTATGTGTACAAACTTTTAGAAATTAGCTTTATTTGTTGTTAATACAATGTGTATAATCTTTTGGAAATTAGTTTTTTTTATTTAGTGAAGTATTTGATGTTTGTATTTTTTATTTATTATCCCTCATCTTCGTATTTTATAAATGGTAGTTATATTTCAATGTTGATGTTAGTAAATTAACATTAAAAATAAATTCTAAATTTTAAATTTGTGATATATTTTTATCTCGATAATTTGCGATCAATTCATTGATAATCTTTGATCCATTGATAATCCATTGCTTATTTTGCAATCAATTCACGTGTCTGAGCACATGTGGAATAGGCAGCTTGATAGAGTTCTCCGTATTAAAAGAGATACCAAAAGTGACCATTGAGATGGGCTAATTCTTGGGTAAGTTAAACCTTATCTTACACGAGCAGAGATGCTTAGAGTGGCACACATGTCATATTTTTCTGTTGATCACCACTTAATTTCAGACTTGGTTGAGTAATGGAGACCAAAAAACGCACACTTTTCGCATGACATTTGGGGAGTATACAATTACCCTAGAGGATGTTTACATTTTGTTAGATCTTAAGGTTCGTGAAGACCCAATTATTGATTGTTCAGATATAGATAGGTTCCACTTGTAAGAGAATTGTTGGGTTGATCAATATTTTTTTGAAATTTTCATGCATGTGCACAAAATGTAACAAATGGACAAATATATTAGAGCTTATATTTTGTAGTTTCTTGGGGGTATGCTATTTTATGACAAGTCTTAAGCATACCGATGTGATATTTGGAAATGCTAGTTGATTTAGACAGATGTGGTCAACTAAGTTGGGGATCGGTTGTGCTTGCTGATTTATAGCGAGAATTGTGTGTTGCCACTAGTTATGATCAAAATAAAATTAATGGGGGCATGTGTTCCATTGTAGTTGTGGGCATGATATCAGTTGTCATATTTTGTAGCCTAACGACATTGCTAAATATTGTTGGTGTTCTTTTAGGTGCAATGCTAGTATTTTGAAATTAGTTGTCTTACTAAATATTATATTTAACATTGGGTAACTGTTTTTAATTAGTTTGATGATTTTCATAATGTTAGGTGGACTAGTGCCTTGCATACACCAAAAGATGAACACAAAAAAGACTTTTGTTTAGATTCGTGATGCTTTAAATAAGATGAAAAACAAAGATGTATGTAGAAAGTTTATCATTATTGTTGTTTTTTTTTATAATCTTATTTTTTTCTTGAAATTAATTATGATTGTTGATTTTTTCATGTGCAGTTTGTTTGGCTACCATACCTTAAATGTTTTGCTTTGTTACCACCATATAATTTGCATGACCTAACTTTATGTGGGAAGGATGATAAGATACTATGTTTGTACACAAGTGAAAAAACAAGGTTAGATCTTGTTTTGCACACATAACGCTTGTGTTACTACATGTTTGACCAATAACTTTGAGTACATGTGTGGTATAAAAGACACGCTAGACGTTGGATTGTGCACATTACTGTAAAATAGGATTATGTTGTAAGGCACACAAGTGATCTTCAAAATGACCATCAGGAATGAAGATCTTCTTGTTCATCGCCATTGTCTAGTACATAATCAATTTCTTAGCATGACATTTCTACTGATTAATATATTAATACTTATAATCATACAAAATATTACTTGTACAAAAAAATTCAAATAATAATCTACACAAACTTAAAAAAATTTCACCTAAATAACTACACAAAGAATCTAAATAATTTCATATTTAATAATCAGAACTGAAATGACAAATAATATATTAAAGAATCTAAAAAATATATTAAGGAAAAAGAAGAAATTTAAGATACAAATTGGAGGTAGAGGAAATGAAGAAGATGAAAAAAAACACTCTAATAAAAGGAGATGAAGAAGTGATGAAAAAAAATTCACTGGCTAGTCTTCAAAAGTTGTGGCTGGTCTTCAGAAGCAACATTGTGACCTCTTCTAAATACTTAGTTTTAAGAAGTAATGTGGCGTTCTCTTCCGCACAAAAATCATCATTGGGTATGACACGATCAAAAACCATCAATACTTATGACAATATTAATAACTCTCGATATCTGTGCCAATATCAATAAATATTAATACTTATAACATCTTCATCAGATGTTTGTACTTGTAACGACACTTAAAAATACCTCATTTCTAGACCTTTTTTTCATTAATTTTGTCATCTATCAAAAACATCTTAAATGGTCGCGACACTTCTCTCAACTATATCATGATGACCAAAATAATTTATTTTGATAATAATTTTAAAATAATTTACTTTAGAAAATAGTTTTTTTATTTATTCTGACCAAAAAAACCTAAAACCTGTAAAAACTTGCACGGTTCCCGTCACTTTCTTCCCAACGTGTAAAATTGGACATTATAATTTATAACTATGCAGGGACTCGGAGAGTGACCCACCAAGAGTTATATAGAGAGGAAAACGAAAGTTGAGTAACATTTAAAATAGAGATGTTCAACGCGTTCGTCTACCTATTTAGGAGTTAGGACCGAATCTAGACCCAGTCACTCCTCTTGGATTTTCATATAATATAAATATAATTATTGCAAAACTCGACTTTGACATTGCCAAGCATGACCTTAAACAAGTGCAGCATCTGAGTATTGCACATCAATTATTAACTTTGCTATAATTGCTTTGGTAGGATCGTTGAGCAATTAGCAAATTTTAACCACTCCTTAAAATATTAACCGTACCGATCATGCGGATAATCAATAAATTTATACTGTTTAACGCTATTTCCAACTATAAATTAAAATTAGTAGTAATTTTGAAAAAAAAAATTATATAGATACAAATAATATTTTATTTATTAAATTGGATATAAAAATAAGATTAAGTATATATTTACTTATCCCGTATTCATATTCATATATACTTTAAATTTGTAATTTTCTTTAAATTATTTAATTCGTGTAATTCTTATTCTATTTTAAATTTATATGAAATAAAATTTTATTAATGTAATTTTATAATTATTACTTTATGTTGAAATTCTTATTTTTTATATATATTTTTTAAAAAATTAATTAATTTATGCAAGTATAAGACAAGTACATGTATATCCAATACTCAACGAATACGAGAATAAAGATATAAATTTCATACCCAACAAGAATGTCAAATAAACCTATAAATGTGAGTAATACCCGAATCTGTCCCGACTTTGATGAAAAATATTTGATTTGACCGA